CCCCCCCCACACACACACACACACACACACACACACACAAGTCTCCTCGGATTATCAAAGAAAATTACTCCTCTGCCATGGCGTAGTAATATAACCAACCAGAGGGTGTCGCAATTCAGTATCATCAGCTAGTAGCTACTGTACTTGACAAATCTTAAGACAACTTGGCTTCAAACATTATCTTTCCCCCTTTAAATCTAAAATCAACTTTAAAAACAAAAGCAATAAACTAGAAATTTCTGACATCAGATGCATTGAAAGTACAAATTATTATAGGGCTTCATCAATGTTTATTGCCTTGCTTACTCTTCCTTTATCAATAGAAGAGGGCAAAAAGAGAAGAGAAAGTGTAAAGTTTCTTTACTCTTCAGGATGGATTGGAAAATGTCTATTCCCAGAATCACGAACATCCTATAAAACTGCAAATAGACAAAAGATTTCAATAAACTTATAAAAAAAAATTGATAATCGGCATCTGCACCGTTTCTCCCCATGTTAGCATTGTGGAACTTGCCTTTCAAAAATGATTTGGTGGAGAGCAGGTCTTGGCCTCCAGGGTGTACAGATGCCAGAATCGATACTACAAGGCCAAATGCGTTTATTTATACATGCCACAGTGTAAATACTCCACAAGTTTTTGTTTCTCTCTGTTATTTTCCAGGCTGTGGACTTCGAGGATGTAAAAAACCCTGAACCTAGGGCTAGAGGTGCGCAACAAGGCCCCCATGTTTGACGGATCTATTCCCAATGGTGGAGCTAGTATTGTTTTTGGAGGAGGTCCCAGTGGTGCCAGCGGTGCCAGCGGTGCCAGCAGCTCCTCTGGAAGCAGAGGAAGAATCCATGGCTTTTAAATTTTGTCTTGTCTTAGTCTCATTAATAAAAAAAATATTTTTCATTTTCGTCATATTTTTATTTTCTGGAAACAATTTTTGTGCGTCATTGTCTAATGATTGTCACATGAAAAAGGGGTGTTGATAAAATTAACACTGCTATGAGAAAAAGCAAAGAGAGTAGAACGTTAGAAGAGAGGGGCGGAGCTGTCCACCAACCACCACCTGGTGGTGAGCTGGATACGCTGGAAGAGGCGGAAGCCTGAAAGCCTCGGCAGGCCCAAACGTGTAGTGAGGGTCTGCTGGGAACGTCTGGTGGAACCCTCGGTCAGGGACGTGTTCAACTCCCACCTCCGGGAGCGCTTCT